CTTCTTCTTGTGTCGATTCCGGCCATCTTTGGACCACGTACAAACAACTAATTATGACTTGCTTTTCCCTCTTCCCTTCCCTTTGTTCTTCTTCCTTTCTTTCCAATACCTCTTCATTCTCTCGCTCTGCTGTTGTCTTTGCTCCTGAGTGAAGAGTCTTCCACGTCTGTTATTTTCCTTTTCCTGAAAACCCTTGAAGTTCTTTATTTTGTTTCTAAACCTTTCCCTGTTCTGGATATCTTCTTCCAATATGCCCATTTCTGCCATGTCTTTTTGAGTGTCATTGATCCATTGATTCTTATTCTTTAGGTTGTTGAAATACATAAAAATTTGTTTCGTTAGCCTATTTTCCCCCATTCTCTTTATATGCCCAAAGAAGCTTACTCGCCTTCTCCGAATTGTATCCGAGAGTCTTGGGATTTTTTGATAAAGCTCTTTATTGCTCCTTAGCACGTAGTTACCATGTTCATCTATTTTTGGCCCCAGAATTTTCCGAAGGATCTTCCTCTCTTTTTTCTCCATATTTTCTATTTCTCCCATTTTAAGAGTAGCAATACCTTCTGCTGCATAAAGTGCTTGTGGTTTTATCACTGCATTATAATGTCTAATTTTTGCATTAATGGAGATTGATTTTTTGTTGTAAATGTCTTTGAAAAGTTGATAGGCAATTTCCAACTTCCGTGTCCTGGCACAATTTGTTGCTTTAGACAACCCATTTAGACAACACACTAATTTATTATCTATATTATTTACATTATATTTCTAAATAAAGCACTGTCCATTTCTAAATTGTATTGGGTTGTTCGGAAAGTAATTTCGTTTTTTTTCCGTGGAAAAAAACATTTTTATAATAAATAAATATTTTGTAGAATTATTTATCGACCATTTTGATCAAATATTTGTCATCATCATTTCTGGTAGTAGCATGATTTCACATTCATAAAAGTTTTGATCGTTGCTTACAAAAACTGATCCAAGTGATTTTTGACATTGTCATTTCAAGTAAATGTCTTACAGTTAAAAAAAATTATATAGACCGGAACAAGTAATAATCTGAGTGTGCTCGATCTGGCGAGTATGGTTGGTGCGATGGCACATCCCATCTAAGTTATAACAGTTTTTGACAAGTTACCAAACTTGTGTGAAATTTGACATTATCGTGACACTACACCCATTTTGTTGATCAATTCTGGCCGCCTTTTCTGTTTAATGATATTACTCAATTTGTTTACTCGATGGCAATACACTTTTGAATAAATTGTTAAATTGTCTGGTAAAAGCTCCAAAAAAAAAATTTCCTTAAAATCCCACCAAAGATAGCATCTCTCCTTAAGAACATGTGGAACTCATATATCGAGCTTTGAAATGAAACCAATTTGTTTCAAGTACTCAAACAGTTCAATTTGACAAATTTAATCTCTTAGTGATTTCACGTGTTGTTATTTGACAGTTTGCTTCAATCAGTACTTTTATTTTGTTTTCATTGGCTTCAATTGGCCATCTGTAACGTGGTGCATCTTCAATACTGAAATTGCAAGAACAAAATTTTATAAACCAGTTTTGGCACTGTTGTTCTGTCAGCACATCTCCACCATACATATCACATGTGTTTTTTCTTGCTTGAATGGCATTTTTATTTTTTTGGTAATAAAAAAGCAAAATATGTCAAAAATGCTGCTTTCGATCTTCCATATTTGATGAGACACAAAAAATAAACAATTGCACAAAATCAAACAAAATTTTTTACAAATAAGCCTTAAAATGCTAGCTGTCAAANATAACATTTAATAAAACACATTTTATATTCATTTTAATTTAAGTTACAGCTAATTTCCATTTACCGTTTGTACTTGTACAATTGATGGGCCAGAAAATGTAGGCGAAGCTGTTTGAACTGTCATAGGAGTTGTAGCTACTGCTTGGATGCCAGTTCCACTTTGCACAATTTGTATCTGTGACATTAACAAGAATTATATATCAAATAATAATTTAGTTTTATAAAAATAAAAACATAAGTTTTAAATTTTATCAACCTAAACTATTGTTACAAGACTCATTTTATTAATATCACAAAATACTGGATATTTCTGAATAACTTATGTAAATTAATTTAATGTTTTTGAATGGGAGCTGGAATCAATTTATTGTTTATAACATTGAATTTTATGGAAAAACTAACTATCTACTTATGAATATTCAAGACACAAATGTTTCAAGAACAAATTATGTTTGAATATAAACAAGTGCCTGCATATAAATAATGCCAATTATTTTAATAGCCCACAGTAGAAAATTTAAAGTATTTTATTTGGTAAGTAGTATAGTTTAGATCGTAAAATGATGTTCTAGACCAGTGATTCTCAACATTTTTATCGTCATGGTACACTTTTAATAATTTAAAAATTTGGCAGCACACACGGTTACTTCAGTAAGTACTGTACCACAGGACAACTGGTGACATCATAACAGTGATTTTTAAATGCAGTTGGTTATTTAGGTCACATTTTCTAAACATCTTGGTAACTACCAGCAGTTACCAGTAACACCAGTTACAATTTCCAAATGCACCCTAGGAAGATAGAACTGATTGTACTACTTGTCTGACATTGCTTATGTATGGATATTTGCAGTGGCGGCACACTTCAACCACTGTGCCACGGCACACTAAAATGCAGTGGCACAGTGGTTGAGAATCACTGTTCTAGACGATATTTAATTATGAATAATATTTCTTATAAAATAATTCAATATGATTCTTGTTTCCTAATAACTTTCAAATTAAATTATTTTACTAATCTGACTACTTGGGTAAGTCTATGAAATTTTTATCTATATTTTCATATTTTATCAGGTAAAAAAAGTACAAATTAATGTTTAAATTATTCAAAATATTCTAATTCCTTATAAAAATGTAAAATATATTACTTCAAATCAAATCTTTTGCTTGTATCTGATAAAACTAGTAATTCTGTCAAAACAGAAGCTTGATATAAGCAATTTTTTTCACTTTAAAAAATATCTAATGCATTCTAATGTAATTTATCAACAAGTTTTTCAAAATTAATATCAGGAAATATTTTATTAAAACATTTAAATCATAACAATTAGTAAAAATTTTTAATATTAATCATATATAGGTAACTAATGATTTCTATTATATTAATATTTTCAAACTTTATCATTTATCCTTTTGAAAATTGTACACAAATTTTATGATTTATTAATTTTCCTATCTCAGGCTTCTTTTGTGAGAAAATTCTAATGTCTTAATGATTAGCAAATAAAAAATAAAACAACACTTCTATCAAACCTGAAACTAATTTAGATTGAACAACACTTTAAATACTTTTTCAACAACACTGTACATTATTCAAACAAACATTTTCACCCCTTTCATAGCCTTCGTCAGGATTTAACGTATAAAATGTTATTCAGACAAAAAAAAACAATTTAAAATTTTAACTCTTAATAATGCATTTTAAACTGAAACAAGCATATCATGCATGCAAATTAATGATTCTAAACCACTTATATAAAAATATAAATATTTTTATATATTGTGATATTCTACTTTTACTTTACCTGAGGAGTTGTTTGTAACTGATTCTGTGCTTGTTGATTACTTCCACTGGTTACATTAGTTGTTTGTTGTTGAAGAGCTGCTTGATGCTGTTGGGCTAACTGAAAATAATACTGTACTTGATCCGGATGCATTGTTGTTGTACGAATATTTTCATCTTGGCGTTTAGTAGGTTTTAACTCATCTCTTGGTACAATGTCAATTAAAAAATCAAATTGATCATATTTAGTGATGGCCATTGCAATATCATTTCTCTGTTAAAAAAATGTTTATTTACAAATTTATAAAAATAAAATTATGAATTAGGTATAAAAATATATCTATATCTAAAATGTAATGTATAGCTACTAAATATATTCATGAAACTACTAAAATCAAACAATTATTAATACCAAAAATTGCATATCATGAAATACAGTTTAACCCGATTATAATGTCATTGGATGTAACGACAACCCTAATATAACATCAAATTTTTATCGGTCCTACAATTTTACTATACTAGATAATGTTAAAAAACCCACTTGTAACAACATAAAACCCTGTTTTAATGTCATATTTGAAGCATTCTCAAATTTACAAAATTAGATTACAAATTTTATTTAACAAAGAAAATACTACGTGTTCAGTCCTAGGGTCAGAGTCCACTTACCAGAACAACTGTGGGTGGTACTGTCACCACCTGACTTTAGTGGGGTGAGATTCACCACCCTTTAAACGACGTGATAGTGGGTTAGTCTGCACAGCTCTTATACTCGTGTTGTAGTTTAGCATCAAATCAAGTACAATGGCTAGCTTAAAAAGGAAAGCGTTAATGTTAGACTGCAAAGTAGAAATAATTAAAGCAGTTGAAAGTGGAAAAAAAAGGCAGATGTATGCAGAGACTTTGGTTTAGCAAATTCTACAGTGCACACAATAATAAAAAACAGAGAGAAAATTTTGAAAAGTTTTCAAGATGGCAAGGGACAAGTGAAAAAAATTAAGTTATGTGAAAAAGCCAATATTGATGACACTCTAATTAAGTGGTTTATAAATTAAGTGGTTTAAAAATATGATTAGAAATTGCAGCCTGGCATTTCAATGTCATCACAATAAATAATTGCTCATTGTGTAAGCATCAAAATAACACAAAATGAGTGTTTTATCTATTGAAATCTTAATAAAGAGCAGTTTTTCCTCTTTGAAAGATTAAAAAATATAAAAAATAGGCAGTTTCCAAGTAGAATCTCTTTCAAACATCAGACTAAATATTATCTTAAGAATAACACAGATCACATGATTTGTCTCATTAAAAGTACACTTAAATTACTTTTAAGTGTACTTTTCACTATCATTTGAGAGTTAAACCTCCTTTCCAAAATTTACAAATTTTTAGATTTCTTCCATCTGTAGATGAGTAGACATTTTGATTATTTAAACACACAAACTTTTATACAGATGTTTTCTCTATTGCATATGTTCATTAAAATTCACACCAAGCTTTTTTTAATATGATTCCATAACAGTTAATGCTAAAATAATTCTCAGGGAAATTCAGTAATTTTTACTAATATCTTTCATTTTCTAACTTAAATCAATAATTCACTCTTTGTTATTTATATAGTCCCTTTCATGTAATGTATTTCATCCAACTTTCTGATTTTTATAACATTAAGAATTTGTAGAAAAAAATAAAAGCTAATCAGCATTACATAGCTGAAAAGGGCTTTTAATATATTCCTTGCATATCTCACATCATCAAATATTGTCATATTTGATGATGTGAGATATGCAAGGAATATATTAATGCTGAATTTTTAGCAATTCATAAACAATAAGATATCATTTCATGAAATTATTATTATACTGATAAAGTATTAATGTCACACAATAAAGAATTTTAATACTCTCAGATTTGTAGTCTTGTTATAAAATATGAATTTAGATCAAAACTTCTAATCATAATTAATTTTAAAATATAGAATGTGGCAGCATCCTCACAATTAAATGGCATCATCAGTTAGATAATTTAATTATTGAAATCATTTCACAAAATTTTAGTCATTTTGTTAAAATTTTTAATCATTTTTATTTTTCTTTAATCTGAAACATTTTTTTTTTCTGAACATCTACAGCTTTCAGCCACCTCCACTTGAAACTGGCCTGCCTCAAGTCTCCATTTCAATGTCATCTAAATGATGATGCATTGTCATTTTATCAAAATATGATTGACTTTTTCAGAAATTTTACTGGTAGCAGTTTCAATTTATTGCCTTGATTTTAGACACCAGTGTACATTATCATAACAAATCACAATACAGTTTAGATTGAAGTACAATAATACCTCAGTTTTTGTCAGTTGTCTTGTATTTTGTTGGCATGCCCATGTGACCTCGTTGCTAATTCTGTCAAAACAAAGGGTAACCCATGCATTTACCTGCTCAGTTTGGCCTTGTTTCTCATTGTGTGAACATTATTCCATGTGTCTAGCCAAACAATTCCTCTATGATAGCAGGATGGCTGAGCTGTCAAAGTGGCAGCCTACCGCTCTGGGGATCCAGGATCGAATGCAGAAGGAGAGAAAATCCCTAGGAATTTTTCATGGAGTGATCTATCTGGATATGTTGGGCCCATCCGTCATCACCTGGCTGCCCCATTGTGGTCCTGGCCAAACCCATAATGGGCTTGCTAAAAGAGGCCCTCTTAGTACCCACACGGTGGAGAAAGTTAAAAAAAAAAAGCCAAACAATTTCATTGCTTTCCTTTCCTTTTAGCTCCATCATGAAACAAAAGAAAGTTTCCAGAGCCATCAGGCCTTCAAATGCCATGTTAAATGTTCATTTATTCTTTACATTAGTATTTTATATTCATTTTATATTAATTTCTTATTGTGTTTAGTATTAAACACTATATTTATTCTCTATAAATGTGTTTTTGATATGTATTTTGAAGTGTCTAGAATGAATTAATTGGATTTACATTGATTCATATGAAAATAATTGCCTTGGTTTTCATCGTTTCAGATTTTGCTGATCGTTTTCGGAGAGATTATCAACGAAAACTGATGTATCACTGTACTATAGAAATTTACCATAAAAGTATAATGACAAACACATCTTGCTTACTTTTCCAGCAGATAGTTGTCTACATTACAAACATTTTACAAAACCAAAAATATTTGTAATGCATATAGCTGTCTGTTGGAAAAGTAAGCAAGATGTGTTTATCATTACATTTACATTTATTCAAGTTTAGATAACTCAGTTTTAATATAAAAGGCAACTCTAGTAATTAAATACATAAAAAAAAGAATCCAAATATTTATAACTATACAAATTACAAAAGTTTAATTTTTCTTTTTTGANTTCATTTTATTTACAGTATTACAGTACTTATGTATTTTATTTATTGTTTTCATGTTTTAATTTATTATTTAAAGCATTTATGTTATTTTTATCTTAAATTATGTGTATTTGCTGTTAATCAAAATAGATATGGTTTAGGAACAGATTACTTCATCTTCTATCATTTCTAATGGGAAAAATTAATTACAATTTAGAGTTTAAACAGTCTCCTGGAATGAACAAAATTTAAAGTATGAAGCACCACTATATTTGAAAATTTCAGTAAAGTTCAATACATATAAAACACATTTGTTTGAAATAACAATATTCTGATAGTATTTTCAATTCAATGTTGTTGATTCAGAAGTATTACAATCTTCTACTATCATATTTATGCTTGTATAGGCCACAAACTACCCTAAACTTCTTGTCATAGTCTATATTTGAGATAATGAATAATTTTAAAACAATTTAAAATTTTAAAGCAATTCATTATCATTGTCTTTATATACCTTAGGACTTGTAGCAAGATTCTTCGGAGGATTTAGGTTGCCAGAGGCAAGAAGAAAAAGGGGGGGAAAAAAAGCAAAAAAGAAGAAAAGAAGGGAGCTGTCTGAGGCCCCAACTAAGAGGACTATAAAAATTAAAATCAATGTCTTCATAAAATAAAATAAAATACTCCTCAAACCTTTAACCAGAGTGTTTCTGTTTTTAGAATTGCGAAGAGCCCAGGAGGAGGAGCGACCAAAATGTTCGCAATTCTAAAAATAGAAGCACTCCGGTTAAAGGTTTGAGGAGTATTTTATTTTATTTTATTTAAACACCGGTGTGTAGAGAGATTGTATCAATGTCTTCATTTGAAACTGACAGCTATTGTTTATATTCTTCACTTGAAACTTCACTGTTACTACCAGTATCACTTGATATGATATTTTTCATTATAAAAGTGAATCATATATTCTGACATTAATCCAATAATGTTTAATTCAATTCATTAATCACATAAACTTTGTAAATAAAGAATTAAAATTCATAATATCTACTATAATATCTAACAGATATTTTCTTTGTAAATCAACTCTTACCAAATATTAATAAAGGATTATTCATTTATCATACAATCTACAAATTATATTCTACAGACACAGCACAATAAAACTCATTACATTACATTATTTATACAATGTATTTACATATTTTTTATCCACAATCCAGCTGATACAGGATCAAAACAATACTCATAATCATGTGTGTATATGCAATGTTCTCTTTATTTTATCTATCAGTTGAACTAATCATTAGCTGCACTAAAATCTTTCCATATTTTTAGCTAATTCTTCTGCTTTATGATGCATTAATAGTCCATGAACAGGTGCAATTTTTTCATAAGCATTACTAAATCAATTGCATTGACTCATTTTGGTACCTTTTAATAACATTCTAAAATTTGAAGTTTGCATTTCTTATTTGCTTTTTCCATTATGCTAAAAGGTATAGTATAGAATTATACTTTAAATAATGATGGAGATAACAGTCTTCATTAACCAGCAAACAGCTAGCCTACAAATGCAGTAACAATGTGCAAGAAATTCAGATTTAAATTACAGTACTGTATACAGTATTTAGTGCAAGATTAAAACTATTATGAACTTCAATTAGAAATTTGTTTATTTAAAAATTAAATATAATTTAATTTTTAAAATATAAAAAAAGTGAAATCAACTAATTTAGTAATTGCATTCACTGATTTTTAAAATATCAACTTTGTTTTAGAAACATTGATTATTTTATATTTAAAATTTTACGTATCTACTTTTACACACTAATCTTCTTCTTCTTGTGTCGATTCCGGCCATCTTTGTACCACGTACAAACAACTAATTATGACTTGCTTTTCCCTCTTCCCTTCCCTTTGTTCTTCTTCCTTTCTTTCCAATACCTCTTCAATCTCTCGCTTTGCTGTTGTCTTTGCTCCTGAGTGAAGAGTTTTCCACGTCTGTTATTTTCCTTTTCCTGAAAACCCTTGAAGTTCTTTATTTTGTTTCTAAACCTTTCCCTGTTCTGGATATCTTCTTCCAATATGTCCATTTCTGCCATGTCTTTTTGAGTATCATTGATCCATTGATTCTTATTCTTTAGGTTGTTGAAATACATAAAAATTTGTTTCGTTAGCCTATTTTCCCCCATTCTCTTTATATGCCCAAAGAAGCTTACTCGCCTTCTCCGAATTGTATCCGAGAGTCTTGGGATTTTTTGATAAAGCTCTTTATTGCTCCTTAGCACGTAGTTACCATGTTCATCTATTTTTGGCCCCAGAATTTTTCGAAGGATCTTCCTCTCTTTTTTCTCCATATTTTCTATTTCTCCCATTTTAAGAGTAGCAATACCTTCTGCTGCATAAAGTGCTTGCGGTTTTATCACTGCGTTATAATGTCTAATTTTTGCATTAATGGAGATTGATTTTTTGTTGTAAATGTCTTTGAAAAGTTGATAGGCAATTTCCAACTTCCGTGTCCTGGCACAATTTGTTGCTTTAGACAACCCATTTAGACAACACACTAATTTATTATCTATATTATTTACATTATATTTCTAAATAAAGCACTGTCCATTTCTAAATTGTATTGGGTTGTTCGGAAAGTAATTTTGTTTTTTTTCCGTGGAAAAAAACATTTTTATAATAAATAAATATTTTGTAGAATTATTTATCGACCATTTTGATCAAATATTTGTCATCATCATTTCTGGTAGTAGCATGATTTCACATTCATAAAAGTTTTGATCGTTGCTTACAAAAACTGATCCAAGTGATTTTTGACATTGTCATTTCAAGTAAATGTCTTACAGTTAAAAAAAATTATATAGACCGGAACAAGTAATAATCTGAGTGTGCTCGATCTGGCGAGTATGGTTGGTGCGATGGCACATCCCATCTAAGTTATAACAGTTTTTGACAAGTTACCAAACTTGTGTGAAATTTGACATTATCGTGACACTACACCCATTTTGTTGATCAATTCTGGCCGCCTTTTCTGTTTAATGATATTACTCAATTTGTTTACTCGATGGCAATACACTTTTGAATAAATTGTTAAATTGTCTGGTAAAAGCTCCAAAAAAAAAATTTCCTTAAAATCCCACCAAAGATAGCATCTCTCCTTAAGAACATGTGGAACTCATATATCGAGCTTTGAAATGAAACCAATTTGTTTCAAGTACTCAAACAGTTCAATTTGACAAATTTAATCTCTTAGTGATTTCACGTGTTGTTATTTGACAGTTTGCTTCAATCAGTACTTTTATTTTGTTTTCATTGGCTTCAATTGGCCATCTGTAACGTGGTGCATCTTCAATACTGAAATTGCAAGAACAAAATTTTATAAACCAGTTTTGGCACTGTTGTTCTGTCAGCACATCTCCACCATACATATCACATGTGTTTTTTCTTGCTTGAATGGCATTTTTATTTTTTTGGTAATAAAAAAGCAAAATATGTCAAAAATGCTGCTTTCGATCTTCCATATTTGATGAGACACAAAAAATAAACAATTGCACAAAATCAAACAAAATTTTTTACAAATAAGCCTTAAAATGCTAGCTGTCAAAATATATAATGATAATACGGTTTAGAATGAAAATGGCGGGAAAAATAAGACTAATCCGTCTAGTGGTAAAAAAAACGAAATTACTTTTCGAACAACCCAATAGAATAATTAGTCTATTTCTAAATATTAAAAAATTAAATACAATAATAAAAACTGTAAGACATTTTTATATTTAATAGTTAGTTGAAAAAAATTGCTAAAATTTGAAACAAACTTTAATAAATGAGATTCAAAGTTTTATCATTTTATATCATATTTTTTTTTCACCTGAAGATCAATGAAAATATAATTATATATAATAATTAACTTGCAATGTGATTCTTGATTTATTGTAAATTTCTGCAATTTGAAAAAATTATATTTTATATAAATGTTTTATAATAACAACTGAGATGGAATAATTAATATACTTATATTAATAATGAATTAAAGTCAATGGAAGCAATAATACTTTGTCACAAAATTAATAATGAAAAATCAAAATGTTCTCTATTACATATCCTAAACATGACAATTTAAATACTAGAATATTTTATTTTAAAAGAAATCCATGTATTATATTTAATTATATATTTGAAAATTCAACATAAAAATTGTTAAGAAGTAATTTCACTTTAATCTGAAAAATATTTTAAAAATATCCTGCAAATACATTAACTACATAATTTAAGTGACGTTTTATCAAATAATTTTAAGCTTTCTAAAAGCATTCAATATTAAGAATCTTAATGACTGGATGATTTAATTTAAATTGGATCTGACTGTTCTACTAACATTGTTATTGAAAGAACATGGCTTATAACCATCATCATCTATTTTATCAATTGGATGTTATCAATTGTTTAAATGAAAACAAATTTATCATTTGTAACAATAATTATAAAAACCAAAAAGTTTTGTAATGTTATTTAATTTATATATTTTGTGATATATTGATGACAACTGATAACAATATCTGCAATTACAATAAGAAGGTTTCACTGTATTTTATTTATATGTTATTTTATTTATTTAAAAAATTGGAATAATTTTAAATGATATATAGTATATGTACCCATTGTTATACTCTTTTATTAAACTTTTTCAGAAAGAAAACCAAATATTTGAAATTTATATTAGTTATAGTTTAAAAAATATATACAAGCTTAAATATAGTTGTGTATTTTCAATCATTTATGATTTTTAAAAACATTGTTTTAATATTTCTTCCTTTTTGAGAATGACAACAAAAAACAATTTTTTTACATGTATCTTTAAAAATATTTTCCTGTACAGATAAATTAGCTATATTGGCCTACTTCCATAGTTAAATCACTACAGTAATGAAAAGCAGTTAGCATACTTAAATTGTCAAATAATAAAATTACCTTTACTTCATCATCTAATTTCATAATTTTCTTAATTCTTGCAAGAGGGAGCTCTTGATTTTTGAAATCATTCTGAAATGTTTAAACAATAGATATATATAAATAAATTTATCAAAACTAGCTACTATTAAACCAAATTTTTTTCATAATGCTTTTTTTCAATTATAAAAATAGAAAAATTACAGCTACAGTCAAAATTTGATATAATGCCGCCATCAAAATATTAATGAATGCTTATGAACAGATATCTATAAATATTAAACAAAAGACCACCAGTACCTGTAAAATATTAAATCTAAGATTTTGCATTGCAAACAATGTTATGAATAAATCATAACATATATGGTGATCATAACTAAAGTTGTCCTATTCAGAGGACTCTGTAACTCCAACTAATAAGTCAATTGATACCAAAATTTGTGTGCATCCTTATTCAAAAAATTTGAAAAAGGACTTTGCAAAGAAAAATTTTAGTTACAAAACTGTCCATTACAGGATAAAGGACACTGCAAGCAAAGAAATGTGATATGCATAGCCACATGGAATGCAACTAAGACTTATGCCAACATTTCACTGATGACTAGGTGATTAATCATTGATTTCTGACTGCCTGGCCACCACATTCTGGGTCTGAATCCATATGATTTCTGGCTATGGGTCATTTAAATGATATGGTTTATCATGGTAATGTTGCAATATTGACTGACTTAAAGGACAGTACTATGTTGCATATGTGAAATATCATCAGCTATTGAACACACTATGAATCATTTTCAAATTTTATAGCTAAACAATGGGAAACACATTGGACAGTATTCCCTGCATCACTAAGCAATTTGTACAGCACAAACTGGTATGTTCCCATACCAACAAATAAATACTTTTTCATTGTGTTTCTGTTGTTTTTTTTTTGCAGCACCATTTACCTTGTAGCAGACTATTTTGGAACTAAGTTTTCTTTGCAAAATCTTTTTCTGCATTCTTTGAATAGCATGTATACAAATTTTGACATCAATCAGCTTATTGATTGGGGCTACAGACTCCTCTGAATAAGACAACTTATGATTACTTGGTATTACTAGTATAAACTCAAATATTCTATTGACAACATTTAAATATGTTATTTTTTGGTTTCCATACTTATTATAATTCTTAAGTAATCCAAAAATCTAATTCTCAAAATTCTAAAATATATTAACTATTATAATTTAGTAAATCAAAAAGAAATTTCATAATAGATAAAGGTCTGCTACCAGTATATGATCATAAAAGAAAATCTTACAGGTCCCATATTGCGAATTTCATCCATTGCTCTCTGCCAAAATGTTTCCAACATCTGATGAGCTTCAGTTTGTGCATGGCTCCCAGCAGTTGCTGTAGAATATGTTGCATCAGTTTGAGCCATTATTTTCTAACACTATAAAATATGTATATAATGTTTGTTAAACTAAATATATAATCATCAATCTATTAAATATAGTCTTAACTTACAAATTAAATTTTAAAAACAACAAACAATATGTATTGAATTGCAATATAATAACTCCATATTTATGGTATTGTTCAACAAAACTGTCAAAAATCTACAAAAGATAAATATATTAAAAAAAGCATATGGTGATAAATAAAAACACATTTTCATATGAATAAATTTTGCTACAGCATTTCTAACCATCATCTCTTTTTTCTTAATGGTTGCATTCAGCAGATTCAAGTGTCAGAACAGTTGAGTATTTTTCTGCTGAACACCTCTATAGTAGCAGTATTTCTGAGCATGCTGACTGCTTTGATGTTGCAGTTAGTATCAGAATTCATTTATCTATATGATGGCATACATTACAGTATTAATCCACTCAAAAACATTTATCAGCAACTAAAAACAAATATATGTAAGATAAAACCTAAAAAATATTCAATGAAAGAAATTAAATTCATTTTTAGTTTATGGAAAATTTCTAAATGATGATACTATAAATACAGTGGTACCTTATACTTTGACTAACTTCAAATGTTCCAGAGTTTGAACAATAAATTTGACCAGAGTTCAAATGCTGCTTCTACATCTGAATTGCAAAGGCAGTAAAAAATGTACTCACTGCATAAATGCCTTCTATTTTGCATCCAAGTTGTCTCTCATTCTCACTGAGAAAATAACTCTTCCATTACATGTTTTCAGTGCTTTTCTCACTTTATTTTTGGTGTGTTGTTATATAGTATACATAACCATTACCTATTAACAATAATCCTACCAAGAAGAATGTGGAAGTAATGAAGCCTAAGAAGGATGTAATATTGACAACTGAACTGGAAAAAGAACTTACTGTAAAGCATGAAACCAGTACATACGTGGCAGCCATGTTTAAGATGTCAAAGTTGATGGTGTGCACATTTTTTAAGAATAAGGAAGCAATAAAAGCAGCAAATATAGCTAAAAATGTGATAATGTTAACTTCTAGGAGATCACATGTTATTGAGGAGATAGAAAATGCCTCGTAGTGCAGATAAATGAGAAGCAATTGAGGTGATGTCATCCCGAAGAAGTTTATTTGTAAGAAAGCCAAGCAAGCTGCATAGTGACCTTAAGAAATGGGATATCACTTGTCACTAAGGTACAATAAATGCAATTTTCATTTTATTATATATTATTTATATTTATGTATTTTATTTATTGTTTTCATGTTTTAATTTATTATTTAAAGCATTTATGTTATTTTTATCTTAAATTATGTGTATTTGCTGTTAATCAAAATAGATATGGTTTAGGAACAGATTACTTCATCTTCTATCATTTCTAATGGGAAAAATTAATTACAATTTAGAGTTTAAACAGTCTCCTGGAATGAACAAAATTTAAAGTATGAAGCACCACTATATTTGAAAATTTCAGTAAAGTTCAATACATATAAAACACATTTGTTTGAAATAACAATATTCTGATAGTATTTTCAATTCAATGTTGTTGATTCAGAAGTATTACAATCTTCTACTATCATATTTATGCTTGTATAGACCACAAACTACCCTAAACTTCTTGTCATAGTCTATATTTGAGATAATGAATAATTTTAAAACAATTTAAAATTTTAAAGCAATTCATTATCATTGTCTTTATATACCTTAGGACTTGTAGCAAGATTCTTCGGAGGATTTAGGTTGCCAGAGGCAAGAAGAAAAAGGGGGGGAAAAAAAGCAAAAAAGAAGAAAAGAAGGGAGCTGTCTGAGGCCCCAACTAAGAGGACTATAAAAATTAAAATCAATGTCTTCATAAAATAAAATAAAATACTCCTCAAACCTTTAACCAGAGTGTTTCTGTTTTTAGAATTGCGAAGAGCCCAGGAGGAGGAGCGACCAAAATGTTCGCAATTCTAAAAATAGAAGCACTCCGGTTAAAGGTTTGAGGAGTATTTTATTTTATTTTATTTAAACACCGGTGTGTAGAGAGATTGTATCAATGTCTTCATTTGAAACTGACAGCTATTGTTTATATTCTTCACTTGAAACTTCACTGTTACTACCAGTATCACTTGTCTTCATTCTCAGATGATGCGAGATACACTGTATCATCTTGGAAATGGATGTGATTTTGAAACTTTTGGACATCATTTCTTCTAATATTAGTTTTTGTAAAGCCACAATCCATTTGCACATCTGAGGCATGGACAGTTTTCTTAGCCTCCCAGTTGGCGTCATCTCCATTGCAGTGCACCTCCAATCATGGTACAAATGTCTCAGATGAGCTTTAAAAGGATGATTGATGGATACATCAAGTGGTTGCAGCATTCCGCTGATCCCTCCTGGTATCACAACTATGTCACTTTTCTCTTCCCTCATCTTTTTTACACTTTCGGTCAGATGACTTTGGAAGCTGTCAACATGTACTTCCAACATGAACTGCCAACATAATAGTGCACCTGGACACCAAAAACATACTGACTTCAACCAATCCATGTAGAGTTCTTTTATCATCCAGTGTTGATCTTGAACTCGTACCAATATTCCAAGTGGTAATGTTTCTTTCATCCACATCAAGTAGAGAGATAAGTCTGTCAGTAGTGATGCATAGCATTACAGTACAATGCTGCTTTCCTGCTCCCTTTGTTTGCACCAGAACTGTTTTTTTCACCTGCTTGATTGACTATAGTGTTACTTGGCAATAAAAGAAGACAGGAGTTTCATCAGAATTGTCTATTGCCTTAAGTTATAGTTGTGTGTCTTTCTTAAGCTGAGGACATGTTTCTGAAATGCAAACAGTTTCTCTTTATAGATATCAGGAAGCCGCTGCACCATTGAAGTTCACTGCTGAATCAAAAGATCATATTGTGCTATAAACATCTTGCACAGTCATAACTCCCCTTAAATCCACTTTTGGAAATTTTCATATTTTGAGCTATCCTTTGGGCTTCAAACTGAATCATTTTAACAGATACAGAAAATCCATTTTCCCAAATTTCATGGATATATCTCAACAGTTTCCAGATCGGGATATTTTGCTGTTTTTCTGCAAAGCAATTGCCGATTTTGTGATGTTTTCTCAAGGGCATCCTATGTTTGAATCCATTGCCACGTTTTTTTCATTTACATCAAACTTTCTTCTTGCTGCTTGATTTCCATTTTCTTGTGCAAAATGCAGAACTTGCAATTAACAATCACTTCATTCATTTGAAATTTTTAGTGCTGCCATATTTCTGTATACCCGTGTCTCACTCTTGTCCCTTGATGAAATTCTAAGATTTAACTTTTTCCAAATATATTGTTTCATAAACAGGGTGCGTCTTATACACACATGCAGCTTATAAACACATAAATATCGTATTTTGTTAATAGCAGTTTTTTAAAACAAAAATCATTTAATATATTTTATTAATGTTACAATATTGTCCACAAAACATTTGTTCTAATTTGGATCTACATTGGCTACAAATATCAATGGCAACAAATCAGCATTTTTATTTTGAATTAATTTTGAAAAATTTACTATATTTTTCAATATGAAAGTAAAATACAGTATCATATTTTTATTATTGATTCAGAAAATTTATATTTTTAAAATGAGAGATTTCAATACATTTGCATTCACATTTTGATTTTATTAAAAAAAATATTAATATTGATATTTGATTTAATAATTTTATTCTACGAATATACTTGTTTACAACCGTGTTTACTAATTCTATGTAGAATAAATTATCACCATTTATATTATTTTAATACATAATACCATTTTTTCAGAATATATTCATACTGTATTGTGTAAATTAGAAAAGAGCATATTTTGATTTTTTCTGGGTAAATAACAATGTCCATATTTTATAAAATGGCAGCACCATAAAGAAAAGTAGTCATTTACACATTCTAGTATTTTAAAATTTATTATTGTTATACAAATATAAACATCAACCGAAATCCAATGTGTAGCAAATAGACACCCACAATTGCTGTAAATAATGGCACAGTAAGCAGGAGTTGCAGGTTCGAGTCCCATTTCAGGCCGATTCTTTTCTTCCAGTTTATTCTAAATTAATTAATTAAATATTATAATTATTAATTTTAATACGAGATGGCATCTGTCTCTAGTGCCAAATTTATTTATAATTCATAATTATTATTTCCAAAAATATAACCAGATTATTTACGGCAATTGTGAGTGTCTAGTTATTATTGTTATAATGTAACTAGGCAGACTTATCTACTTCTTTTGTCCACTTGTTCAAATATTTTGTGATGATTCATCAATTTCCAGTTCACTATTTTGTATTTTTTTCCCATGATGGAAAAACATTTATGATGACTTTAAACTAAGTATTTTATATATATAAAATACATATTATATATGGATTGCTAACTTGACTTAGATTAAGAAATATGTTTACTCTATGTTTAAAGTTTCAACAAACTAAAATAAATTAATTTTAATCACTTCTTTACAAATAAATATTAACTTTCATATTTACTGGTAACTTGAAATCTAGTAATTTCAACATAAAATATATCTGATGCTTAAAATTTTTTTTAACTTAACATAAAAACATTATAAATTGCAGTTTTGAACAATCATTAACTGATACTTCTTAAAATTAAATGATCAGTTCATATAAAAAGGTTATAAAATTTAACCAATCTTCTATTTGAACAAAGTTTTTTCAGATTACAATGTATGTACTGTTAAAATAAGCTTGGTCAAGCTGATATGACAGCATGATCCACAAAAGCAAATCAAATATTAATGTTTAAAATAAATTTTATAAATTCTTGGAATCAAGTAGTTGTTGCACATGTGTGTAGACATGCACAATAAATGGATTGAATGGAACATAACCCTTAGATAACTAAAATGAAGTCATTGTGCATGCGCGTGGACATCTGACAGACGGACAAAAGTTCTAGCATAGTTTTTATTAGCACTTCACCACTATAGTGGAGCGTGCTAATAAAAACTCTTCAGATTAGAATTCATTTAAAATTTAACACAAATGAGCAATTACTTACTGTAACAGTGTTGCAATGCCAGGTTGCAATTTTTAATCATATTTTAATTTTAAAAAATCATGACTTTGTCTAAACTAGAAATTTGTATACAATTAATTGGGGCCTCTGGTCCCTAAACTTTCCATATCTGGTCTTGATTTTCATCTATTTAACTTTATTCTCAAATTTAAGGAAAGATAGATGGCCAGATGCACTGACAGGTGATAATGGAAATCTATAGGTCTGCAATTTAAAAAAATGCAGCCCAATAATTGATAAAATAAAAAGAAAGAATCAAATATCTCTCAGCAGTTTAAAATATATCAGATTGCTTTATATGTGTAAACTATTTTTAATGTGGCACTTTAATTTTTCCTTAATTTAATTAAATTAACAGTTATAATCCTAAACAATCTGCACTTAATTATTTTTCAGTTATCAATCTTTAACATAGTAATATTTTAGCATATCTATCTGTATAAAATAACTATTTGCAACACATAATTGCAAGTTTGCATACTACATTATTGCTGTATTCAATGTGATTTATTTTATTAGTCTGTAACCATTCACATTTTACAATATAAGTGCTATGTTCATATCTCTTTTAAAAGCATCCCATATACAGTGGAACCCCGGTTAACAAACGTCCTGGTTAACGAACTTTTATTTTGCAAAAATTTTGTCTCGGATAACGAACGTAATGGTATTTTGTGTCAAATTTTAGTTGGTGTTAGGCATGTGTGAGTTAAGCATTGCTTTTCCGAGTGTTTGTGCTATACTTCTTTTTTCAGTTTTGTGATTTATATATTTAATCAATATGGCATCCAAGAAAGAAAAAAGTCAGAGTGGCAATAGAAAACAACAATGCAATATAAACGACAATGCGCTATCGCATTTGAGAAAGATTTTGATTAAAAGAGTAAGACAATCAACTTTAGATCAATTTCTTGTTCCTTATGGAAAGAGTTCGTTTGTTTTTTTAAGTTATGGCAACGCAACACTTGGGCAATCTGCCTAGGGGAAATGCCTTCTGGGAGGTGTTTTTAAGGGAAACTGGCCCCTATTTAGGCATTACAGACGTGGAGAAAGCCCAGAAAACTCCACATGGCCAGCCCGTCTGAGCGAGGTGCAAACCCACGAACCCGTGTTCAAGGTACGAAGACCACTTAGCCACTGGTGGGGTTTTTTTTTTTACTGAAAGAGACTTCGACTCGAAGAATCTTCCGATGAATTGCTACCTGTTATTTTTTTGGAGGGGATTCCCCCTCTAAGCATTAAGGTTCGTATATCTCCACTTTTCTGCCATCAACTACAACAAACGAAGGTATGTACAGTGCTATTTTATTAAACAAAGTTTACATGTTTGTTGCTGTAATGATAGATACTACGTTTTCCTACATTTTCATCAAAGAAAATTACTGTATATTACAAATAATATCACAAAAATTTCGGAGACTAGAACGGATTAATTGCATTTGCATTAATTTCTATGGAAAAAAATCGCTTCAGTTAATGAACAATTCAGTTAACGAATGGAGTTGCAGAACGGATTAAGTTCGTTAACCGGGGTTCCACTGTATATGTTACTGCGAATGACCGATATCTGGCGAATGTCAACATTCTCCGGTGAATGTCAGCATTCACACAGTCGTTTCACGTAAGTACGAAATATTTGCTAAATATCATTATTTCTCACTTACACCGGCAAATGTCGACATTCAGTATGCACTGATGGTGAATGTTGAATAAAAATATTTTTATTACGTTAAGACAAAAATGCAACTTTTTAATATGTCAAAATAGGAGAAAGCTTAAGTAACAGCGCATGTAAATAAACTGTTGAACCTAAAACGAACAGTACATTCTAAATCATTAAAGAAAATAATACAATAATAAACTTACACATAAATTATGTGATTAACGTTATACAGTCTTATTTATTGCAACAGCGTAAACTGTTATGGCACTTTGAATTGCACAAGAGTCCCTTGCTTTTACAACTGCATTTATTCGTGAAGCACTTCTTTTTGCAATGACAGCATGTCTATAGCCTTGCCCTCCACTTTTCGAATTAGCTGCAGCTGCTTCTCTCAGCAATACTTCTTGAGAAGAAATCTCATCTATGGAAAGTAACTTTTCTTTACAAATTACGAACTGATTACGTTATTACGTGATTACAAATTGACCTGTTAATGGTGTCTTTTATTCTGATATCGCCGACGCCTTACCGACAACCCCTCTCATCCTGCGGAGGATGAGAGGGGTCAAAAGAACCTGATAAACCGTTCAAAAGAACAAAAATGCCATCCAGTGACAAAGTGGGCGGTTTCCACCAAACCGTTGCCAGGAAAAAAGGTACGATCTTGTCCTACCTCCGGCTACCCAGAAATGATTTGGCGATAGACTGTCACCTCTCTGTCGACATTGGCTTCTCAGGTGTCGTTTCGACCTCCACCAAAGCTTATCTGTGCTTGTCGATACACACCGGCGATTGTTCAAATGTATAATAATATAACCAAATATTCGGTCTTTCACCGACGTATTTTGTGTGTGTCGACATTCACCGGAGAATATCGACATTCTCTAATTTCGGTCTTTCACAGTAACATATACATATATGCTTTATAATGCTTAGCAACTTTCAGCACATTATGGTAATATTAGAAGGTTTGCTTTTTATTTTATTTATTCACAATAACCATTTTTAAATTTACTTTCTAGAATTGTGAAAAACTTTGTTTAAAATTCCTTGAGTCAAATTAAAGGCAAAAATTAGCAAAATCTAAAGACAGTTTTGATAAAACTCTTGTCTTGGTTTCTGAAAATTTTATAACTTATTAAAAAATTATATTATAAATTCATAACTATAAATTAGCACATGTAAAATTGTAAGAATACAATAATTTATGAATAAATTATTATTAATTTTACAGTCATCTTTTATTTATTAACTAAAAGAAATGTTTTCAATCAAAATCTGACCATCCTCAACTTAGATTTTTAATACTTAACAATTTCGAACAGAGGCATCCAACCTTTTTGTTTCTCCGGGCCACATTGGAAGAAATCATGGAGTTCTGGGCCACAAGTATATTGTGGCCCAATCCTTAAATATACAAGTATATTTAAGTATTTACATGTCTAGATTATAGTAATAAGTATTAAAACTTCATCACAAAAAAGGATATTTTAAAAAATTACTTCACAGACACTTTTAGTTTCTACTTAGAAATAGATAAATTTATTTATTATAAAGGAAACAAACAAAAATTTATTTGAAAAACACAAATATTTGTTTTATTTGGGTTTTTAATTAATAAAAAAAACAACAAAACACCATTTTAACGTGCATTTTTATTCAACTAATATATTTATAAATAATATGTAGCCCAAAATGTAGCCAATGCGCCAAATGATATTTTTTACACCAAACTAAAAAAAGGGTAGCCAAATTTGGTGCAAAGTAGCCAAATCTTGCAACGCTGAAAGGAATATTAAATAAAGCTAGAGTTGGAATTCAAAGGATTAATCCACCCATGTAAGAATTTTGGAATTTTGGCATTCCGTTATCTTGGCATCCTAGGCAAGTACCCTCTTGCCCCTGCCTTTCCACAACCCTGCTTCAACCTGACAGCCACAGGAAGAGGTGATCCTTGTAGTTGCCGGCCATGGGAGATGCAATTCTCAACACAGAAATGCAATCCAAGAACAAAGCAATCACCACCAATTGCTTTATTCTTGTGTTTTGTTTGTTTTTGTGCCTATTTTCCATTATGCACAATCAATGTTTTTTTTATTTTTCTCTCCTAAATTCCATTAGGTATGTCAAAGAGCACAGACATTATCACTTTGACTCTGCTAGTCCACTGTATATTGAAAACGATGACATGGATTCCTATTTTTACATTTACTGATTACATTTTTGGATTCTTCATTGCAATTAATGGAAAATGGCAAATTTTCATCAAAACCAATCAATCAAATTTTGAGATTAAATGCAATGTTGTAAGCCTCAGAGAAGAGGATTCATAATTCTCTGCCTTAAATATACAATATAAATACAACATAAATTTATGCTGATTACTCATACTCATGTAGTCATTTTTTACTGTATACCATTTTTGTTTTATTAAATGTTCTACATTGATTCCTCAGTGTTTGTGCCTATTATCACTGGTGTGATAAGTCCTTATTATTATCTACCTCACATTAGTAAATATTTAATTTAATTACACCAAGGGCTAAAAGAATCTTTGTAATAGAATTACTCTGTAAATTATGTGTTTCAAGATCATTTTGTGCCACATTTAATCCAGTGTCATAAGTATGTCTTTGAAAAAAGTGTTCTAGTACAAAACATATAAAACAAGACAACAAACAAAAGTCATCATAATAATACAATATTTCATATTGTTAATATACTAATTCAATCAAATTTTTAAAAAAATAATAGTTTATTGTAATTTTTGAACTCAAAATGAATTAATGCAAACTGAAGTATCTTATGCAAGAAAATAATACAACTTTTACCATAATCCAGCAATAAATTTTTTATAGACTTTATAACACTTCTTCAGGTTCAAATATTTAAGAATGTACAGTACATGCAGGCAGTTATTTAAAAAACATAGAATAAATTATTTGATATTACAAAACAAATTAAACAAAATAAATTACAAATGAATAACAATAAAATAAAGTTACTTGCAGATACAGATCTGAAGAGATTATGTAAAACTGACATAAAAATAGCACTAACCAACCAATTTAAAATGGAACTTATTTCATAATTAGAATATACAAAGTTAGAGAAGTGACACGATACGCACGTGTCATCTGATACATATTAATTGTACTGTATATTGTATTTACACATAAGCCTACACGTATTGCAAATTTAATTTAAATTACGAAATTACATACCTGATGTTTCGAATTGGAAACTGAAAAGTGTTAATGAAGCAAAAAATATTTTTCAAAGATTCATGATGATTCTTATTACAGAAAACTAATACGTTATTATGTATTTTCAACTTCTCCTCATATTGTTTGTAATTTTTCAGTGTTGCCAGCTAAGATTGTCAAGTTGTCTAACTTTAAAAAATTAAAAACTTAGTTATTATATAAAATATAATTATATTTTTAATCGTATTAGAATAAAGATGAAAAATAATATTGCTTTATAGAATTTAATACCAATTGCATGACGTTTGTCATTCTTTCCAACCCTTTTTTTTTAACTCTTTCCTTCCTGTGGGCACTAAGAGGGCCTCTTTTTTGCAAGTCCATTATGGGTTGAAAGAAGGGGCTACCTCCTGGTTCCACTCAAAGGTACGACCAGGCCCACAATGGGGCGACCGGGTGGTAAGGGACGGGACCCGACATATCCAGACGGACCACTCCCTGAAAAATTTCTGGGGATTATCCGACCCGCCTGGATTTGATCCCGGGACCCCCAGAGCGGTAGACTGCCACGTTGACCGCTCGGCCATCCGATCGTCGTTTTTTCTACCTTGTGAGAACTAACTCGTAAGAAAGGATTTTTTTTTCTATACTCAGTGGATTCGGCCAGGTCCACAATGAATGTGCTGGATGCTGAGGGATCGAACCAAACATATCCGGGATGGATTATTATTCTGAAAAATTCCTGAAATTTTTTCGACTATATTCGATCCAGGGTCCCCAGAATGGAAGGCTGATTCTTTAACCAACTCACAAATCTGGTCGGTATAGATTTTTTTATATCAAATTGAAAGGTTATAATTTTTATAGTTTTAATTTTAAAAGGCACTCCTTAATGCCACAGGGTTAAAGAGAGAAGAAAAGATTGGTTTTATTCGATTATGGAAACGCGACATATGGGCTATCCAAAGTCCTAGATCAGTGATGGCGAACCTATGACCCGCGGGTCAGGCACTGACCCACGCAGGCTTTTTAAATGACCCACGCGTTGATTTTTATGAACTTATTTTTTATATCATAAAAGAGAGAACAGACAATCAAAAATATTTAAAAAATAATGTATATATATCTAATGTCAAATTTATAAAAAATATAAAAAAAAAACAGTCTAAAGGCCCGATGCAGATACATTTCACTTTATTTTATATCTATACAAAACGGAATTCGAAACAATGGAGTTAACCGAATTTATGTGGCTAGATATCCATGATTTAGAAATGGAATTAGTTGAATTTCAAAGCAGCATAGTGTGGAAAAATAAATTTGAAAACTTGCTTTCCAAAGTAGAAGAGAAAATGTTTGAAAGAGGTGCATATAATAATGATCCCACACTAAAAATTGAAAGTATTACATTAAACGTATGGGATTCTTTATCAAATAATTTTATATCAATGGAAAAACTTGCTAATGCTCTTTTAACAATGTTTGGGTCCACATATTCGTGTGAAAAATTGTTTTCTTCAATGAATTTTGTAAAATCTATCATTAGAAATAAACTTGGAAATAAATTGACTGCAAAATGCGTTAAAACTAATAAGACGGAATATGAACCTAATATTAAAAAACTATCTGAAAATAAACAACAACAGATTTCTCATTAAATAAACTTCAACTTTATTATACATACACATACCTGTAACTATATCTATTAATAAATAATATATATATATGTGTGTGTGTGTGTGTGATTTTCTTTATTCCTTGTTCATTGAAATACTCAGTGCAGGGGCTACTGCTGACTGGACATGGTGTCACCTGGTGTGGTAATTCATGGTATCATCCCATTGATATCATTTTTTTACGTCAACCTTTATTTTTTGCTCTTCACTTGCAAAAATAAAAGCTGTAAAACAAAAAGGAAATGTAAACTTTTTAGAGGATTTTAAAAGTGCAAACCAAAAAAAAGTAGTTTTTAATCATCCTCTCCCCTTTCCAAGTGACGCCACTGACTTACAAGTTAGTGACCCATGAGCTAAAAAAAATAATGAACAAAATTTGACCCATTTCTCAAAAAGGTTCACCATCACTGTCCTAGATTATAAGGTTGCCTCATAGAGAAGAAACGCTTCTTATTGGTTGCTTATTTGACATCACTCACAGTCAGTCGAAAACGAAACATCTTACTATGTCCTTATGATAAAAACATAACCGATCAGAGGCTTCTAGCTTTAATTACACGCTATTTCATTGATTACGATTTATATTTAATTAAATGTAAATACATTTAATTAAATATAAATCGTAATTCGTAATTAAATCGTAATTAAAGCTAGAAGCCTCTGATCGGTTATGTTTTTATCATAAGGACATAGTAAGATGTTTCGTTTTCGACTGACTGTGAGTGATGTCAAATAAGCAACCAATAAGAAGCGTTTCTTCTCTATGAGGCAACCTTATAATCTAGGACAGTGATGGCGAACCTTTTTGAGAAATGGGTCAAATTTTGTTCATTATTTTTTTTAGCTCATGGGTCACTAACTTGTAAGTCAGTGGCGTCACTTGGAAAGGGGAGAGGATGATTAAAAACTACTTTTTTTTGGTTTGCACTTTTAAAATCCTCTAAAAAGTTTACATTTCCTTTTTGTTTTACAGCTTTTATTTTTGCAAGTGAAGAGCAAAAAATAAAGGTTGACGTAAAAAAATGATATCAATGGGATGATACCATAAATTACCACACCAGGTGACACCATGTCCAGTCAGCAGTAGCCCCTGCACTGAGTATTTCAATGAACAAGGAATAAAGAAAATCACACACACACACACACATATATATATATTATTTATTAATAGATATAGTTACAGGTATGTGTATGTATAATAAAGTTGAAGTTTATTTAATGAGAAATCTGTTGTTGTTTATTTTCAGATAGTTTTTTAATATTAGGTTCATATTCCGTTTTATTAGTTTTAACGCATTTTGCAGTCAATTTATTTCCAAGTTTATTTCTAATGATAGATTTTACAAAATTCATTGAAGAAAACAATTTTTCACACGAATATGTGGACCCAAACATTGTTAAAAGAGCATTAGCAAGTTTTTCCATTGATATAAAATTATTTGATAAAGAATCCCATACGTTTAATGTAATACTTTCAATTTTTAGTGTGGGATCATTATTATATGCACCTCTTTCAAACATTTTCTCTTCTACTTTGGAAAGCAAGTTTTCAAATTTATTTTTCCACACTATGCTGCTTTGAAATTCAACTAATTCCATTTCTAAATCATGGATATCTAGCCACATAAATTCGGTTAACTCCATTGTTTCGAATTCCGTTTTGTATAGATATAAAATAAAGTGAAATGTATCTGCATCGGGCCTTTAGACTGTTTTTTTTTTATATTTTTTATAAATTTGACATTAGATATATATACATTATTTTTTAAATATTTTTGATTGTCTGTTCTCTCTTTTATGATATAAAAAATAAGTTCATAAAAATCAACGCGTGGGTCATTTAAAAAGCCTGCGTGGGTCAGTGCCTGACCCGCGGGTCATAGGTTCGCCATCACTGATCTAGGACTTTGGATAGCCCATATGTCGCGTTNAAAAATTTTACTCGTCATAAAACGATAAATAGTTTGTCAAATTTTTATTCATAAAAATGCAGTTTCAACTGCTTTTTATTTTATAAAATCCGTATTCTTGAGCCGCCAGAGGGTCTTTTAAACAATAACTAGTCTGTTAGTGCTGGTCAATAGTAGTCCAAATTCAATACGAACGTTTGTTTCTTGAAAATTTGATCACGATTTAAATACAGTATTTATTTTTAATATTATCGATATGTCATGGAAAAGAAAACGTGTTGTATTATCAATAAAAGACAAATTAAAGTATTTGTTTCGATTATCCGGATTTTTCCTTATCCGGACTATCTTCATCCCCAATCAGTCCGGATAATCGAGGTTCTACTGTAATAATAAAATTAAAATTAAAAAAATAGCTATTTTTTATTGTCCCAAATAAATCTAATCAAGATATAATATTCTGAAGTGGAAAAAAGTAGTATTAACATTTCTTACATAAAAATTATTATACAAATAAATAACACTACAATAAATTTATATAGCCTATATAAAACATTTTTATATTTTGCATTTTTATGCATTTTACGTAAATATGAATATTTTAAGAAAGTTATATTAATTTATAATAAACAATATTTCTTTTTTACATCTCTAGTTATTTTAAAAGTGTTATCAGCCAGCTTATTATTTGTAGTCGTCATTTCATCGTGCAGATACTATTTTTATACACGTAGAAAACTATTCTTAGTATTTTAATTAAAGTATTTAGGAATAAATATATTTTATCAGTAATCGTATTCTGTAATTTCTACAAAACGAAGTGTAAAGACTACAACAAAATATCAAACGGTTCTAGGAACACTTTTGTTACTTCCATACAATGTTTATTGATATAATTATCAACATAATTATGTTTAAGAATAGTAATAACGATAGATATATTTACCTTCGAAGATTAAGAGTCTAAAAACTCTCAACAAAGTAACAAAAATAGTGAAATTCCAAAATTTGATCAAAATATACCTATAATTATAACTTCATAATTTCCTGTTAAAGTTCTTATTTTTATGCTTCTCTTTCATATATCTACTTAATTAAACTTTGCTTATACTTGTACTTTAAATTGCATATATTGCATTCCATTTTCAACAAAGGCAACGAAACATTGAAACAAAGACAAATCCAGTTGCCGCTGTTCGCCGTAGTGGCATAATTTAGAACTAATGTTTACCATAGAGCTAGATTCTTGTGAATTCCGTAGCACAAGTAAAATATACAAAAAGTATAAATTTACAAAGTACAGTAGCCCCTCGTTATATCGCGGATTTGGATATATCTCTCTTTTTGTTTTTTCCCCACAAGCGCGATATAACGAAGGGTACACTACATGCAAAAAACATATTGATTTACTGTGTTTATTTGCGATAATATAAAATACTAAATTATAAATTTATAGTTTATACAAATTAGTTTATAATCGATTTTCTTATTTTTTATTTTGATTTTATTTTTTAACAATTTCCTATCTGTCCGAATCCAAGCTTTCAAACTGCTAAAATAATTTTAAGTTTTATTCATTACAAGTTTACTATAATTTTTTGCAATCATCCATGTAAGTTTCGCTTCTTTGTCCCAGAGGCGTTCTTTATTCGAAAAATCGATTCACTTATGTTTTGGATGATTATCGATGCTTTTTAATTAAAAAATCAAGTTTATTTTTACAGTAGAGCCTCGATTATCCGATTTAATTGGGACTGGGGTTGGTCGGATAATTGAAAAGTCGGATAACCGAAAAGTATGAAAAAATCCATTATTAGTGTAGTATATTATTATATCCGATGTAATTAGTATATTAGTATATCGCTATTAACCTACTTCGCGTTGAATTTTCATCGATGTTAAGCCTAACAAAAATTTTTTTAAATAATAATCGTCGCTATTGTATCGTTAAAAATTAGAAAATTAAGCCTCGTTTAAATACTGGCTCCCTTTCATGGTCGAATGAGTGTTGCCAGCTAAAACACGTAAAAATAATATTAAAGTAGCCAAGACATAGCAAAGTATTGTAGCTCCACATCACTAGCAGACATTTGAAATTTGCCGACTAGGACGGTCGGTTAACCGAGGTGTCGGTTAGTCGGGAGTCGGATAATCGAGGCTCTACTGTATTTTTGTAACCTTTTCTATCGTTCAATCTGCATTTGAATATTCTGATACGCATTAACGTACTGTACTTGTCCGAAAATGTGTTAGAAATACTATTTAATAGTGTTGCAACGAATAGTATATTCGGCCTCAGGCCGAATACCCGAATATTCGGTCAGGAGCGTGGCCGAATAGCCGAATATTCGGCCAAACTATTTGGCTTGATTAATGCACGTACGAAAATTGGCGCGCAAAACGCATTATGGCAAGGACCCTGTTCTCTATTGGCCCACTGTCACTACGCTTCGCCAATCGCGTTAATTCTTGACAGTTCAGACAAGAGCGTCATGGCATTATGTGATAAATGATAAGTGATGATATCAAATGTTGATAACAATGAAATGACCTACACGTGTAAATAACGGAAGAAGAACAGAGAAGAACCGCAAAGTGAAAATGTGAAAATAAATATGAAATTGAGTTGATAACATAATCGAACAAGTCGAGGCAGCTTATTGGCCCGAAATTCGCGGTCGTGAATGCCAAACAATTGTTGTCATAGACTTCGGAAAGCTAAATGCTTGTAATGAAAGTCACTTAGCGTGCACCGGCGAAAGCCTGGGGTCGTTCGGGCTACCGAGCTGTTTCGAATCTGTGAAATCATAACTGCGACTTATATCGACGTCCTATCTGTCTCTTTTCTCCGTTATCACCAGGCTATGAGTCTCGTAGTTGTAAAATGGGAAATCTACGACGGAAAAGTGACGAATCGAAAGTATCGTGAGGGCGTATTATGATGTATGCACAGGCATACGTGAACTAGAGCGATAGAGGAAAGAGAAAGGGAAGAGCAAAGACGAGCGCTTAAAAAGAAAGATAGGCAGGGTCAGACTCTCAGATGTGGAATTATTCTCGAACGAATAGATGTGTACAGTACGTGTGCTGATCTTTGTAATTATAAATTGTGAATACAAGTGACTGATATTATGTTCTTTTTTATTTTGTGTATAAGTTATAAATAAATATAAACAAACAACACTAATCCGATAACATTAAATCTAAATACCAAAATGATTAATTTACTGTGTTTTTGTTAATTCTTACTTCTGTTTTTAGGTATTCGGCCGAATAGTAACCGAATATTCGTTACATCACTACTATTTAATCAAATTGTTAGATTAGCGAGCGCGCCGGATTACCGAGAGTGTAGTCTTAAAGGCAACAAATGATGTGACCTCTCGGTGCTGATTTTTTGGAGGGAGGCGAGCAAATAAAACAGCGCGCTGTAAACCAACACAAAAAATGAAGCCCAACACGAAAACAGATGTGTGACAAGTGTTGATAACATTTTCGTGGAAACAGAAGCACTGGAGGCTGTCTTATTAGCGGTAGACTATCGATTTCGCGGTCATTTCAAAGGGATTGAATAGTTCGATAAAAGCCGCATTATATGGGTCAAACTTAGATTATCTAATGAGAATTTAATTGCAGATATTAGTTTTGTTTGTAAAACTGTAGAAATGAGTTTAACATAAATACTGTCAAATTTAGTTTTAGGAAATTAATCTATTTGTAAAAAAATACTATCGACAGTTTCAATTAAAGCTTATAAAAAAAGGATAATTTAAATATTTTTAGAACATTTTGATTCGAAATATGTCTTTATAATTAATTTCATCCAATATTCCAATTTTTGTAATTAAATATTTAAATTTTGTTTAAATCTGACACAAAAATTTTTATCTTGATAATCTTTATATTAACATCTAACAAGATTTGTTTCTCGGTAATCTGATTACTAGAACTTATATTATAGTAAATTTTTTATATAGACCTATATATTTTCATGTTAAAGATGATTATTATCTTAAAACTTGCAAAAGAAAATTTTATTCTTAAAGAAAAAATTAAATTAGATAAAATGATTTGGGGACATTAATTTTAAGCATATGCTCACAACAAATAAATGGAACTGAACATATAGAAAGCCTTTATACGCCTTATGAGAAAACGTCAAATCGAACATGACATGCATATATCTATTAGCTAATATTTTTTTTATCGTTAAGTAATAATGGATTATTATATAAGTATTACATATTTGTTTCCAATATATTTTGCGTAAACATACTATTATTTCGTATTTCAGACGTTCGTATGTCGATTTTCTAGAGGTCGTTCTGTATTAAAATCAGGTCGACCTCGATTTTAATAAAGATTCCGTAATTTATCATAATTTAGCTTGTAGAAACTTCTTCCGAATCTTATCATCTTTATAGTTTTAAGAAAATAAAATATTTAAGTTATATATTTGTAGTTGTGTTTAGATTAATAAACAGACAGACACCAATTGACAAAAGAAAAAAAGTCATTTTCTGCTCTTGTTTTTCAATATTACACAGCTGATTGGAGGTGCAATCAAGCTTTGAACATAGCATGACTTTCTACAAAGCACATTATCTACAATTTAAATTAAAAACTATGAAACAATAAATAGATAATGACACTTCTGGTTGAACTCGCGAACATACACAATTGTTTCTTGTTTCCATATTACATAGGCTATACCGGAATATCACTGACAACTTATTTCCTTTATCTCAAAAATTTCAAGATTGATCCCTTAAAAGATAAATTACTTTTTATTGAGAAAAATTTCCATTTTCGATCGAATGAGTCACGAATGTCTCGTGGAACTTCGTTGTTAAATTTTTCAAACAGAACAGAGCGATGAACTATGAAGAATATTTAATAATAAAATTTGATATAATTTCTTTTGAATGATATATTTAAAAATTTTAAACCGTTTATACATTTCAATAAAAACGTTATTAAATCTGACAAAATTTAAGTATCGTGCCAGTGATATAACTGAGAATTTTAATAAATAACTTCATACTATGCAAAATTTTTATTGCTCACAGTCACAATATAGATGGTAAAATTAAAAAAAAAATTTCTAATTAGAATATAATAAATTATATATTTTTAAATCAACAAATAGAAAAAGGAATAAAATTTCATTACCAAAATTCATTAAATAAATAAATAAATATATATATGTATTCTTAANATTTACTTATATAAACTAAGTAAACTAAAATTGTCTTTTATAAGAAAAACAGAATAAATAAATATATATATGTATATATATATATATGTTGTCTTTAGTTGCACTAATTGGTGTGCATTAAAATTTTTAAAAATTTGTATTTTTTTGCACGATGTACAATTCTTTTTAAAATCGAGCATTTCACAAAACTTTACTTATAATTCGGCAATTTGAAATGCGTTACTTTCAAGAGAATTGTTAGATGATATTCCAAAAACATGAAAAATTTACATGCCGAAAGATAGGTAGATAAACAGCCTGTATTAATTACAGCAACAATTTGTTCATTGAACACAAACACCTCCAATTATTTTTTTTTAAAATCAAATACTGTACATTAAACACTAGATTTCCATGTTGTAATATTACAAAGAAAGTCATTTACAATAGTGGGATGATTTCTGTTGATAAAAATTACAACAGTAGATCATCTTGACACACAACACTAAGTGTGAAGGGGCACTAGGTCTCAATCCAGCCACAAATGAGCATGATTAATAATCAAATAGCAAAACAAAAATGATCATGAAGATAGATACATCATGAAGGTAAAATAAGGTATAGCCAGATATCTGATTCTCGATGAACGGAGATTAAAATTTTTCAAATGGAACGTATTAATTCAGAACGAGAGCTTATCATCAATTATCCATTTAGAAGACCAATTTTGTCATTCAATTACCAAACTGTGTATTGGTTATAGTAGTATTTATCAATTATATTATGATATTGGTTAAAATGAAGAGTGCATAAATTTTTCTAGAAACTGTAGTACGATAATAACAAAAGACATTCAAGATATATAGCTAGTAAATGCCTTAATACCTAATTGGCTAGTTGAACGAGCCTATACTAGATATTGTTTTGGCTGCTAGAATACACTAGTTATGAATCTTGGAGTGACTTGTAGCTGGAATAACTATACAACCAAACCAGTAGACTAGAGAGATTATGGTCCAACAATATGGCAGATTGTATCAATGCAGGCACCTGTTTCTTGTGAGACACATCTAAAGTGCTATTAAATGATTTGAACAAATCTGGTGGTGGATTTCAAAGACTGTGCAAAGTCGTATTTTCTTCTCTCTGTTCAGAATCCATAGATGATGCTTTAAACCAGAAATTAAAGTTTGATTTCATACGATGCTAAAACAAATCGACATCCCTGATGTTTTCTCTTTTTGTGTTTCAATTTACACTTCTCATAACAGTTGATAGTAGCTAAATGTACATGTACACACTTTGTAATGTCATAGGAGAATTCCCGTATGCTCCTCACCTGATTTCCCCAAAGATCATGAATGTACATATCGTATGTCTCCAGTTCTTTTCAAGTAGAGTACACCAAAGAAATTCTAGCAAAGCTTAGATTCAAAAATCTTCGACACCATGATCGATTTTAATGTCCTGACTTTTCAACTACAGAACAATTGTGCAAAAAGTCTCACAAATTCTTGTATTGAATTCTAAACATTTCTAACAATGTCCCTGTATCACAAACAGGGCATTTAACAACATTTGCTGAAACTTACATTCAGGATCTCACCCAGTCAGTGGGATGTCTGAAATATGAAAACAAAAGCATTATTAAATATGAAAAAATATTTTATAAAATTTCATTTGTTATATAAATTATAAATTTGAGTATTTGCATTCAGTTTTTATTCCATAACATAGCACTAATAAAACATACTATAATAAAACTTTAGTATTTAACATTAAATAGATTTATTTATATTCTTTTGTTAATGTAAGAAATATCATTTAGAATTAAATGAACTGAATTGTAAAGTTTTTCTTAGATATGAAATTTCATCTGAAAAGTATGATTCATGTAAGATAAGATGACATTTGTCTTTATGTCCTGTAACAAATGGATGATAGTTATAATTATTCATATAGGATGAAATAAATATGAAAAATTAACAGACAAATAACCAAATGGTTAAAGTTTATATATAGAAATTATACTCTCACCTAATGAAAGAATTAAAATTTAGAAAAAAATCTTTGGTGCTAGATGGCAACTATTAAACATAACATATTATAAGAAGCAGTTGAGTCATTTTAGCATATTAATGAATTAGCCATAAAATATATTGTGTACTATAAGAAAATATAATCAAAATGATATGACGAGCAATAAATCTTGAGATTGATTTCTTGCATGACACTGGATGTGATTTATCCTTGAATATTTCAGTTTCCCAGCTGAGCACTATTGCAAGATTATCTATTACACTGATCTAATGATAATGGGATCATCAATCTTATTGCATCTATAGTAGTTAAATATAGATAAAATTCCAGTTAAAATCATTTATAAGAAATCAAAAACTCTTACACTAAATTCATATTGAAATCACAAATGAAAATTATTTTTTGAATTAGGTTTTTTCTAATATTCAATTATCATTCAAATAATTTTTGATTATAATGTTTATAAATTAAAATTTGAATAACAACATACATTTTGATAAAAATTACAAAGAAACATTATCTAAGTGATTTATTTTATTCTATGAAGCTTAAATCATGTTGATAATTAAAGCTTCCTTAATTGTGACCTTAAATGTATTATGGAGTTTTTGGGCTTCTGTTATTAATTGTGTACTACTCTATTTTAAACAATACTTTTAATACTGAAAATATGAGGGATAAAATATATTTAAATACTCAATATAATCCATAATCATTTGATCACATGTAAACAAAATCATATACAAAAAACTTTATTATTTTTCTCTCTATTCAAGATTGTTCTGTTTTTCTCTCTTGCTTGAGATATAACATTTTGTACTGAATATAAAAATATTTCAGAATTAAATACAAGTAAATAAATTAAAGTCATATAGAAAATGAAAAAAATACATAAAGGTAAAAAAATTATATTTTCTTAAATTTTATAGGCCTAATTTTAAAATCCAGACATAATAAAATACTTACAATGGCATAGTAAAATCTTGAAGTGCTTGTTTGACAGAATTAAAGACAGTTTTATTTTCATCTCTGTAACTATCCATACAGAGAGACTGAAGTTTATTAAGATAAGTATCAAAATTATNCACCTATTAAATTAAGCCTTAACTCTCTAAATTATACAATCTTGACTTTGACCCTGAAAATTGTTAATATGAATTTTCAATAAAGCAAACTAACTGTTGTTCCCCTCACAATTCATATTATTGTGAGCTGACTACCAACAACTATTAAATAGTAAACATAAAATTTAACAGCAAGCTAACTTTCTAATGTATCAATGTGATTGCAAGTTTGTGAAAGTTTTCTATATCAAACAAAAATATCTGCATGTCTATTAAATTGCCAATATTTTTGTTAAAGTTGCTTAAATTCTTATTATATAATCCTTCACAATTATGAAACTCATAAAATGCTTCCTAACTAAGATTAAGATTATGTTATAAATAAAAAAGTTTGTTTATTGTCTACATTTAATTTGAAAAGTGATATTTGTATGTAACATAAATAATATCTTTCTCAAATATATTTTAAAAATTACTCACTCTTTCTGTTGTTCGAATATGTTGTTCCATTTGTGTTATGTCAGTTCTTAATTTTATCATTTCTGACTCAACTTTTGCATTGTATTCTTGAAGTTCCAAAATTTCTTCTTCTAAAGCTCTGATATCAGCATCATTCTCCATCTCAGCTAGATAATGAGATTTAATATTCATGATGAAAAATATTTAAATTTTAACAGAAAAAAATAGCATACAAAGTTTTTAACAAAGAACTATATAATAACTTTATAATTTATTAATTGTGTACTACTCTATTTTAAACAATACTTTTAATACTGAAAATATGAGGGATAAAATATATTTAAATACTCAATATAATCCATAATCATTTGATCACATGTAAACAAAATCATATACAAAAAACTTTATTATTTTTCTCTCTATTCAAGATTGTTCTGTTTTTCTCTCTTGCTTGAGATATAACATTTTGTACTGAATATAAAAATATTTCAGAATTAAATACAAGTAAATAAATTAAAGTCATATAGAAAATGAAAAAAATACATAAAGGTAAAAAAATTATATTTTCTTAAATTTTATAGGCCTAATTTTAAAATCCAGACATAATAAAATACTTACAATGGCATAGTAAAATCTTGAAGTGCTTGTTTGACAGAATTAAAGACAGTTTTATTTTCATCTCTGTAACTATCCATACAGAGAGACTGAAGTTTATTAAGATAAGTATCAAAATTATCAGCATTGGGCTTTTCGTCAAAATTTGGAATTTTTACATGATCCAATAAGGAAATAAAATTATTTCTTAATGACTCATAGTACTCAGATAAATGATTTGTCTTCTGTGCAAATGATTGATTATCCTAAATTTTAAAAATCAAATATTAAAATAATTAATTTCATAAATTCATGAAAATAATAAATTAAATTTATCATTAGTTTAATCATTTTATATTTAAAAAAAATTACATATTCACAAATTAATATTTATAATATTTTCACCATAACTTTTTATTAATTACAATATAAGAAAAATTTATCATCACATGAGAAGTATTTTAAATAACTATACTATAAGAAACAAATTATAATATGAATTAAATTTAAAAAATTGCTACATTTACTGTTTCATAAAGCAAGCTGCTGTATCATTTTGTTATAAAATTACATTTATACATTTTATTAAAATACATGAATATGATCAAAATAGTTTTTAGTAAAGTCATGTTTTTCATTAACAAACAGTTTAGTATTAACTCAATCTTCTAAATTATTGATTAATTTAAACAATCTTTCAGTATATATCCCATAAAACTGAGATCTAAATATATAAAATTTTAATATATGAAGTATGGTTTAGGAATAAGGAGTTATGATAATATAAAAAAAAATATAATTTTTATTTATATTTTTTCTTTTTATTTTAACACATTTAATACATCCTTAATATAAACAACAATTTATATTAAGGATGTATTGAATAGATTTTCTTCTCCTAGTAAGCAAAGATGAGTTCAACTTCCAATTGTAAATTCAAACATCTGGTTTTAGCAAACCATTCTACTGTAACTCAGAAAATAGAGATTAAAGTTTGTGGATACCCACCCCTTTAAATGGATGCAGTCCCATGCAAACACATGCTAGTTTGAATATTGAAGAGTGCATACAGGATGCCAAATTTGACTCCTTATTTACTCTTTTGGCACCAAAAAGTATTTTCTTATTTTTCAAACAATCTTCAACAGAAAAAATAACAGATTTCTTTTAGCTTTGTTTTGTTTAACCACTGATATACTGCTCCACATTTAAATAATAAATACTGTTGTCTCCTCATTTTGTTTGGTTTAAAAATCATTTAGAACATTAATTTGTTTTTGTAAATAAATTTTATTTTATTTAACTTTATTTACTAAATTAATTTAAAATATTGTAAATTAAAGATTTTGATCACCTATTAAATTAAGCCTTAACTCTCTAAATTATACAATCTTGACTTTGACCCTGAAAATTGTTAATATGAATTTTCAATAAAGCAAACTAACTGTTGTTCCCCTCACAATTCATATTATTGTGAGCTGACTACCAACAACTATTAAATAGTAAACATAACAATTTAACAGCAAGCTAACTTTCTAATGTATCAATGTGATTGCAAGTTTGTGAAAGTTTTCTATATCAAACAAAAATATCTGCATGTCTATTAAATTGCCAATATTTTTGTTAAAGTTGCTTAAATTCTTATTATATAATCCTTCACAATTATAAAACTCATAAAGTGCTTCCTAACTAAGATTAAGATAAGTTGATTATAAATAAAAAAGTTTGTTTATTGTCTACATTTAATTTGAAAAGCGATATTTGTATGTAACATAAATATCTTTCTCAAATATATTTTAAAAATTACTCACTCTTTCTGTTGTTCGAATATGTTGTTCCATTTGTGTTATGTCAGTTCTTAATTTTATCATTTCTGACTCAACTTTTGCATTGTATTCTTGAAGTTCCAAAATTTCTTCTTCTAAAGCTCTGATATCAGCATCATTCTCCATCTCAGCTAGATAATGAGATTTAATATTCATGATGAAAAATATTTAAATTTTAACAGAAAAAAATAGCATACAAAGTTTTTAACAAAGAACTATATAATAACTTTATAATATTAAACAATAATTTAAATACTTACATATATTT